GATGTCAGATAGAAGATGAAGGGGAGGCTGGAGGTCAGATATAAGATGAAGGGGAGGCCAGGGGTCACATATAATACTGAAGCGAAGGATGGATGTCAGATAGAAGATAAAGGGGAGGCTGGAGGTCAGATATAAGATGAAGGGGAGGCCGGGGGTCACATATAAGACTGAAGGGAAGGCCGGGGGTCACATATAAGACTGAAGGGAAGGCCAGGGGTCAGATATACGGCTGAAGGGAAGGCCAGGGGTCAGATATAAGGCTGAAGGGAAGGACGAAGGTCAGATATAAGACTGAAGGGAAGGACGGGGGTCACGTATAAGGCTGAAGGGGAGGTCGGAGGCCAGATATAAGACTGAAGGGAAGGCCGGGGGTCACATATAAGACTTAAGGGAAGGCCAGGGGTCAGATATAAGGCTGAAGGGAAGGACGAAGGTCAGATATAAGACTGAAGGGAAGGACGGGGGTTACGTATGAGGCTGAAGGGGAGGTCGGAGGCCAGATATAAGACTGAAGGGAAGGCCAGGGGTCATATATAAGGCTGAAGGGGAGGTCGGAGGTCAGATAGAAGACTGAAGGGGAGGCCGGAGTCCAGGTTTAATAACATGTATATCTATAGATCAAATGTGCGGCTTTATTGTTAGGAATCCGGATGGTTTTTCATACTTCCGGCAACTCTTCATACAATATATAATAACTTGGCCTCAAACGTTCTCCCACTTTCTACAATTCCCCAAAATCTGACATTCACCAAGTAGTCCCAATGTAATGCTCTCACATGCTCAATATCCTCCAATCACCTTCAGGTTCTATTATTAACATTAATTTCCCATCCATCTCATTGTATCACTCTTTACTTCCTTTGGCTCATCTTTGTAGCCTCCCAACTGTTTCTTCCCCAGAGCAACAGACTCGTGTGTATTAAAGCTGAACTCCGCTGGGCCAGAAGAGGAAACATATACGGGGAGCAGTTCTATCTGCTAAACAAGTCCATCCAGCCCTGAAATTTTCACAGCTCAGCCACCCAGTGGAACCAGGGAGAGGTGGAGGTGAGGGGCTTGGTTTGGATCCTCCACTGGTAGAAAACAAGGACCCTAATATGGCCAAGTAGCTTAGGTTTGGTGGCTCTCTACAAAGCTCCCCCCCCCCAAAAAAAAAGGTCACCCAAAATTGAGTAGCCCATGTATAGCTGAGCCAAGAAGGCTATACAGGAAGAACAAAAGGTGTTTTTTCGGGGATCATCAAGCCCTTCATTGGGGCTTCATCAAGTATTACAGTGTGTAATTTACTCTGGGGTACTCAGAGGGAATAGTCAGGGTCCGTTATAGCGGCATCGGAAGAGAGGAGATATCCAGAGCCTAATAGATCATTTCATGCTTGTTTTAAGGCCTGATGAAGGGCTTGTTTGACTCCTGAAACGCGTCGGATGCCTTTTGTTCCTCCCATTTTCACTTACTGGATCCATAAAACTGTTTCTGGACCCCTAACATGTTTGATCTCCTTTCTGGTTCAACTCTAAACAGCAGAAACATGGTAGTGACCCGACTTTCCTCTACTGCAGCTTAGCAATACAGGTAGGCCCGCCTCCCTGCTTCCAGCTTGTGGCTAGACAGTGAAGCAGCAGGGAGCTAAGGATGTAATCCCTCTCACCTCTCCTGCTGTCAGTATGTTCCTCGCTAGCACATGTGCATGCAGGACACCTAATTGGCCCCAAGTGCTACCCCTCCTTCTTACAGGGGAAAGGGAGGGGCAGCACTTGGGAGTGACAAGAGGTCCCAAGTCAGTATGTTCTTTGCTTGCACATGTGCATGCAGGAAACCTAATTGACCCCAAGTGCTACCCTTCCTTCTCCCAATAGAAAGGAAGGGACATAATTGGGGTTTAAAGACGTCCTGAGTCAAATTATAACACTGTTAATGATTTTTAAGGAGCACACAACTACATTCAATGTTGTGCTTCTATATCTGCCTGGGGCTCAGCTACAGAGATCTTATCCGGTTCCCTGTAAGAGCCGTTCCCTGTAAGAGAAGAGTCCAACCATGTAGGTAGCAAATAGGGCACCACACCAATGGTCAACGAGTCCTGAATGGTAACGTATTAGATAATCAGTAGAGGAAGAAAGCCAACGTCTTTCAAAGGTTTAGACATTCCCTCTCCATCAGGGCCGTGTCATATGTAACCTCAAATATGGCTGGGCTCGAGTGTCCAAACCTCTGAAACACGTTGGCTTTCTTACTCTACTGATCCTGGACACTTTGACCATTGGTGTGGTGCCCCGACTGCTTCTTGGACTTTTCTCAAGACTTGCCACCCTGTGTTCTGGTATATGTGAGCAGCCTCACCAGGGTGTCACCCTTTCAAAACCTTGGATATTAACAATAGGAGGTCCAGCACCTCCATTCATCAACCATGAAAGAGATGAAGTATTATACCCACCCTTCAGTGGCCTGTGCCATCCAAACCCCTTTCCTTTTCCAGCTTTGCAGACTCTGATATTGCCATTGGTCTTTTGGCATTCAACACTAGTGGTATTGTTGGATGCCTGTGTCTCCCAAAGCCATCGTTTCATTCCTCAGACCCCCTATATAAAACAGGACTCAGCCATGATGTAGGGGTCGGAGGAAGAACCAGCATTGCACTATAGTAGGTGTAGCACCTCTATTCATCTACCATGAAAGAGATTAAATATTATACCCACCTCTTCAGTGGCTGGAGCCATCCAACCCCCCTTCCTGGTCCAGCTTTGCCAACTCTGATATTGGCATTGGTCTTTGGCATTCAACACTTTCAGAAGTGTTGGATGCCTGTGTCTCCCGATGCACGCCATCAGTCAGTTCCTTCCTCAGACCCCCTACATAAAACAGGACTCAGCCATGATGTTGGGGTCGGAGGAAGAACCAGCATTGCACAATAGGAGGTGTAGCACCTCTATTCATCTACCATGAAAAAGATTAAGTATTATGCCCACCTCTTCATTGGACGGGGCCATCCAACCCCTCTTCCTGGTCCAGCTTTGCAGACTCTGATATTGGCATCAGTCTTTGGCATTCAACACTATTGGTAGTGTTGGATACCTGTGTCTCCCAATGCACGCCATTGGTTCCTTCCTCAGACCCCCTACATAAAACAGGACTCAGCCATGATGTAGGGGTCGGAGGAAGAACCAGCATTGCACTATAGTAGGTGTAGCACCTCTATTCATCTACCATGAAAGAGATTAAATATTATACCCACCTCTTCAGTGGCTGGAGCCATCCAACCCCCCTTGCTGGTCCAGCTTTGCAGACTCTGATATTGGCATTGGTCTTTGCCATTCAACACTATTGGTAGTGTTGGATGTCTGTTGCTCCCGATGCATGCCATCAATTCCTTCCTCAGACTCCCTGGACTTCCAGGACTCAGCCATGATGTAGGGGTCAGAGGAAGAACCAGCATTGCACAACTTTCACTTTCCTATGACAGCCACACTGCTGTAACCAGAAAGTGGAGGCAAGACCAAGAACATGGAAGCCATTAGCATCACTTTGGCTAAATATCTAATTTTGTGACTTCAGATGAGACTTATACAAAATCCTGACTGCTCAGCTACTTACACGGGTGTTGCGTAATAAGAGGAGTTGGGTGAGGAAAATATGCAATGCATGTTCCACTTAAGAAAGAACAAATATTCACAAAGGAATTGCTTTGATAATTTAAGGAATGGATACAGCGTGAACCAGCCATGTAAGAGCGAAAATTAATTACAGCTTGCATAACCAAACCTTAATTACAATACTTTGCCATTTGTACAAATTATTAACAATCCTGGTCTGTGGGGAAGGGGTGGTGGGGATGAGCTGGTGCAGTTCTGATATCATCTACAGTGCCAGCTGTCTCTATAGTTCCAAAATGTCTCCTGATGATGAGGAGTGCTTGGTGGGGGACCAAGAAGATTGGGGAGCATGGGCTTTGAGGAAGGGGTGGGGGTGGGGATGAGCTAGTGCAGTTCTGACATTATTTACAGTCCCAGCTGCCTCTTTAGCTCCATAATGTCTCCTGATGATGAGGAGTGCTTGCCAGAGGACCAAAAATGAGAATGAGCTGGAGTAGTTCTTGCATGATCTACAGTCCTAGCTGCCTCTCTTGCTCCGTAACATCTGATGATGAGGAATGTTGGCTGGAGGACCATAAAATTGGAGAGCATGGCCTGTGGGGAAGGGGTGGTGGAAGTGAGCTGGTGCAGTTCTGACATGATCTACAGTCCCATTTGCCTCTCTAGCTCTAAAATGTCTCCTGATGATGAGGAGTGCTTGGTGGGGGACCAAGAAGTTTTGGGAGCATGGCCTTTGAGGAAGGGGTGGAGGTGAGCTAGTGCAGTTCTGACCTCATCTACAGTCCCAGCTGCCTCTTTAGCTCCATAATGTCTCCTGATGATGAGGAGCGCTTGCTGGAGGATCAAGAAGAATGGAGAGCATAGCCTGTGGAGAAGGGGTGATGGGGATGAGGTGGTGCAATTCTGACACGGTCTACTGTCCTATCTGCCTCTCTAGCTCTATAATGTCCCCTGCTAGAAGATGGGGAGTGCTTGCTGGAAGATTGACGAGCATGGCCTGTATCAGACTCCTGTGGAAATCCTTTGGCAGGCACACCAGCTTCAGAGATCAGCCTTATCACTTGTAATAGACTTCACAACACCATACTGACTGGATTATGGAAATAGCTTAACATCTTCGTTCTTGTTCATGGACAATCAACATCTGCCTTGACACATTCTATAATGGTTGGAAGAAGGTGGCTAAAGACACTGGAATATGTTTCTGACACTCACCAGAACTTAGGAAGAAACTTGGACGAGTGGCATAACTTGGTCTGCAACGTGACAGAACAAGTCCAGTTGAATGTGACTGATGTCTTCTATACATACCATCATGACCCAGATAAATGAGAACCTTCACAGACATAGAAATGCAGTTGTTTAAAATTAACTTACAAACCATTCAAAGCCTTGGAAGTCTACAAAAACTTTACACGAGCCAAAGCTTTATACAACCAAACTCTTCACATCTTAGACTATGTACAATATTTTCTCTTCTTGTGTTATCTTGCATCCTATACAATATATTTTCTACATTTTCCCGTCACTTGCTCTATACAAAAGACTCTCCCAACAGACAGTCCTGCTCCTATGTCCCTAGGTGGTCTTTTGCACCCTGCAAGTTTTCAGTTTTCTCCTGGACCACATTATTTGCCACAGCGGCTTCATGATAAGGGGAAGGTTTGGGGTCGCCATGCTTAAAATATTCCCGCACTGTGTTCTTAACAGAAGATGGTAAACTGACACGAATTGTCTGACTGAAAGTCGTGATGGTGTTGGTGTGACTTTTGGCAAGTTGGGATTCTTTGGTAGATTGAGGTTCTTCATGTTCTTCTTTGGTTATGACTTCTTTGTCTGTAAAGGCTGAAGATAAATCCCCATTATTGGTCACCATATCACCTGCAGAGCTTCTTCTGACTATGTGTTTGAGCTGTGTCTGCCATTGGGGTTTCTCCAATTCCGGATGCTGCTTCCTGGAAACCGAATGCAGTACCAACGGGGTGTTTTGGCCGTAGAACACAGTCTGGGGTATTTTGAGCTTCGTGACTTGGCAACTACGACTGCAGGAATCCTCATTCAGATTTTGGTCATTAAGGTTGGTTATGGACATGATGTTAGGAGAAGCGTAGAAGGCCACTTTGGCTTGTTGGGGCCTCTCGTCTTTAAGGGACTCTGCTTTTTTCATTTCAATTTTCCTCACCGAGATCTCCTTGTGAACACAATTTCCGTTCTCTGAAACGGATTCGGTTTTGACACGGCTGATTTTAAATTTTGGTTTTTGCATATATGTGACACCCTCTTTTCCAGAAGAACTGAGAGGCTGACTAGACTCCCTCTCCAAACTTGCGTGAACACTACCTTGGACTGGAAATACATTTGTTCCTTTCTCTTTTTCTTTAATATGATTTTGCTCTTTGGATTCCCATTGCATCTCCCATGACTCAAGGTCACAAGAGCTGGTCCCGAAGAGAGTAGACAGAGGTATGTGCCACTCTCTTAGTTTCTTTTTGGTGATTTCTGGGGATAGTGTGTGTAGCCTCGCTGAGGTCCCAAACATAAATGGTAAGGAGGTAACATCACTTGAGTTGAACACTGGTGACTCTGAGCAGTAAGAGAAGGCACTGTCCAGAGAACTTAGGGAGGAAGCAGAAGGGGAGGTGGTTGTTGAAGAAAGGCTGGAAATACTTGATCTTTTGGAAGGGTTTACCGTATGAGAACTTTTCTCCTTGGGGTTTGTTTTCATTTGGGTGGACCTCCAAAAACCACATTGCGTGTTTTTCGTACTAGGAGCGGCATCTTCATTCAGCAGGTTCTGACTCTCTAGCTGTAGCTGCTTCATCTGATTTATATAATCCAGGTGACTATGTATGATGGTGGCATCACAGCTGGACTGGCGAGCCACTGGTTCATGATTCGGGGGTAGTTCGAGTCTCGAACTATGACATACGCTTGGTTCTGAAGAGCATCTATCCCGACAAGGACTAAGGCAACACGTTGAATCCGTGCAGTCCATCTTGGTTTTGTTCAGGTAGCAGGCAGATATTTCACTGAAAAGGTCCCAGTCCTCCCTTTCCTCCAGCAGCAAAGACTCATCAAACAATCCGTCTTCATCTTTCAGCAGGCTTGACTCTGACTTGTCCAAGTCTGAAGCTGCAAATTCAAGCTCATCGGAGGAATCTTGCCGATGGATCATGTGTATGTCTGGTAAAGATAAGTTGTGCCACAATTATACCATATGTTACAATTGCTCTTTATGTAAATGCAGTTGTTTACAATCGCCATATATATTCACTTTTTTCATACTAGACTCTGTCCCTGCTCCCTCCTCCAAACTTCAATCTAAAGCTATGGCCTTGGGCAACATCTTTTGCCCTAGACTCTGTCCCTGCCCCCTCTTCCTCCAAAGTTCAATCTATAGCCATGGCCGTGTGCAACATCTTTTGCCCTAGACTCGGTCCCTGCCCGCCTCTTCCTCCAAAGTTAAACCTATAGCTATGGCCGTGTGCAACATCTTTTGCCCTAGACTCTGTCCCTTCCCAATCTTCCTTCAAACTTCAATCTAAAGGCTATGGCCGTGTGCAACATCTTTTGCCCTAGACTCTTTCCCTGCCCCCACTTCCTAAAAACTTCACTCTACAGCTATGGCCTAAGGCAAAATCTTCACATCTGCTGTGGTTCCTACCTCCAGCCCCTATGCCTACGCTGTGTGCTGCAGCAGATGGAACCACAGCACAGGTATGCTATGGGGATGATGTAAAGAATCTGCAGCTTCCTGTTGACTGGAGAGCTTTAACTCTGACTCAGCAGGAAGCATTTCACACCTCTGTAGGGACACCACTGTTTTCACACAGAGGTCAAGGATCCTTCTCTGCAGCAAGCTAGCAGTGTATGGGATTTCTATATAGGCCGTGGCTGCTTTCTAAAGAAATCCACCTGTAAGACTGTGCACACCTCTTCAATGCACCTGGAGTGTATTTAGCTCATTTAATCTGAAAGTCCAGGTGGGTTTCAAATTTTTTTGGGATCGTTTGTTAAATTTGAGTAGGATTTGCTCCACAGTGCCTGCAGCTACTGAGCTCAGTGAGGCCTTACTTTAAAATGTATATATAGCTATATGAATATATAAATAGTTGACTTTCCATAATCTAACTACCACAACTTTCTAGTTTGTAGATAACATATCTGCGCCGCTTTCCCTCCAATATTTATATATGAACGCCACATCTCCAACATGTTGAGCACCAATTTACCTGCCAAGTCATCGGTACTTCCTGACTCTTGCTGTCTGTGTTTATTGAACAGAAGGGAAGCATCTTGTTCAAAGATGAGTGAGTAATTCTCTATAATGAATTGTACCAGCCCAGCCACCTGTATAAAAAGACCAATGTTAGTCAGTTTGTTATTTCTGTAGCCAAAATAAAAATGGATGTGCTGTTTATACAAATGTAACCGCTACAGCTCCCGCACCTGTACGCTCCATTTATTTTCTGTGCAGTTTACAGGGAAAATGCTGAACAAGTGATAGTTGGACAAGTGAAAGCTTAGCCCTGATGTGATCAGAGGTCATTGACGCTCAGACAAAATTTGGTACCTTCAACGTGTTTCAGTCATCCTCGACTATAACTCTATGACTAATCTGAGAGTCAGAGAGGTAGGAAGAAACACGTGATCCAGACCCCCCATGATCCAGACCCCCATGATTACGAAACCCGATGATTCAGACCCCCATGATACGAACCTTCATGATCCAAACCCCCCATGATCCAGACGTCTGATGATCCAGACCCCCAATGATCTAAAAAACCCCATGATTCAGATCCCCCATGATCCAGACCCCCCTCCCCTCCCCACTCCCATGATCTAGACCCCACCATGATCTAGGAGTCCCATGATCTGGACCCCTCATGATTTAACCACCCCATGATCCGGTCATCCGATGATCCTGACCCCCAATGATCCAGAAACCCCCATGATCCAGACCCCCCCAATCCAGACATACC